CTTTTCCTGCTACGACAAGTTAAAATATTTTCTTTAAAAAAAGGGTTTTGATATTCCATCCATCCATTCAAGTGCTGCAAAGGTTTGGGAGGTCTTTTTGCTGATATATTGGGATCTATTCCCTGTTTGGGGGATAAAAAGAAGGCTTTTTACTCTTCTTTCTCTCTGGCTTTCTCCTTCTCTTTCAAACACACACAAACGCATGCACATGTATCCATGAGAACAACAGGATGTGGGTCTAGCCAAACAAGCTTGCATGCTGCTCTCTGGGTTTCCTCCTTACCTTCTGTCTCTTTTAGTCAAGTCCTCGCCCACACCCAGGCCTGATTATTAGGTTCACAACAGCACATAAACTAACTATTTCAAGCCTATTTTGTTGTGGGTTTTTTTTATACTGCTAGTTTTACTTTACTATTTATGTGCCCAGTAAGTTCAAATTCTCTGATGTGACCTGGCCTACTTACCTCTTTTCCTCCAGCATCACACTCTCCAGTTTATTTGTACTGATGAGAGTCTGTACTCCGAACCAGATGCTTCAAAAATAAATGAAAAAAGAAAAATATTTTCATCTAATTTAAGTGATTGTGCCACATTCCAAAATAATTTAGACATGTTGTTGTAAAAATACAGAGTACATGTGTGCAAATGCAATTTCTTTGTGAAATATCCATTAAAAAATATCCCAACCCGGCCTCTCAGTAACACAGTCCTCATTTCTCTTTGCTTCAGGTGAGAAGAAGAGGTCCTTAGGGAGGGACTACCACCCTCTGTGCCTGAAGTGTCAAAAGTGCAACAGACAGCTCACAGCTGGTCAACATGCTGAGGTATATGTGGACAATGTATAATAAAAAAAGTGATTGAATGAATGAGTAGGATGATGCAGTAAATATGCATTGCTGATTGTGTTTCAGTATGATGAGAAGCCATACTGTTCACACTGCTACCTGAAGATGTTTGGTCCAAGAGGTACTGCCTGCCCGCAATGAAAGCCCACACACACACACACACACACACGCAAATGCAATTTCTGAATGTCTTTTCTCTGTGTGAATCTCTCTTAACAGGTAACAGGTGACTGGTCCTGGAGACTGGTTGCCCTGGCACAGTGCAGCTCCTCAACGAACTACAGACTGAGCCAAAATGGACAAACACTGACATACAAAAGACCTGCGGGACCTGTTTATTGGCCAGAAATTAGAAAATTAATAGATAAATATGAATGATAGTTGGCTATAGTTTACACCTCCACAAAATCATATATTTATAAATGTGTGATGACCATTTGATGCCAGGTGTATGTGAATGTTCACTTGTATAATGTAAATGATTTTTGCATGTTAGTCAGTATTAATTAATAAATGCATTTGGATTTGGATGTCAAACCCTGGTGTCGCTCAGTCTCTGTGCAGGAGCCCACATGCTCATATTTGGCATGGCAGGGTGGATGTATTTGCTTACAAACACTAACAAATCACATCAAATACTCTAATCACAGACAACACACATGCACATAAAAAAAAAAAATGAGTTGAGCTATAGGGTTGTCCCTCTCTCCCTCAACAAGCAGCCAGGGGAAAGGAGAAGGAAGGAGGAATGGATGAGGGTGGTTGCTGTTGGCAGAGTAAACCAGACCTTATGCCAGCAGAATCTGCTGGAATGGGTGCTACAGTGAGGCAAAGATGGATCTCACACATACACACACACACACACACACACATGCTTTCACGTACAGCAGTGTGCCTTGACTGCTGCAGGGGCTTGTCACCCAGTGGTGGGTGAAGTACAGCACAGATTTGACACGCACATACACACATATAGAGAAAGAGTGAGGTGTGCTGATGTGTTTCCTTGTAAAGTGTCATGTGTCACCAGAGTGACATTTCAGGTATTTGTCCTTGAAGGACAGAGGAATACAGAAATAAAGGGTATAGAGGATAAAGGAAGCAGAGGCAGAAACAGCGTGGAGAAAGCTGATGGGCAAAGGGAGAGAGGGCTGATGGGATTATTTTAACATCTAGCAAAGAGCTGGCAGAGGGATGCCTATGTGTCTACAGCATGTCTTTGAACCTGTCTGTCTCCTTCTTATCCCCCTAGATCCCTCCTTCATCCTCCCTCCTCTTCTATCCCTGCACTATCCCCCTCCCTCTCTCCATGTCTCCTTCACCCCCTAACCCCCTACCTTGATAGATCACATGACTGCTGTGATACCAGCTGGCTGACGGCTCATTTGCATGTGTTTCAGCACTCTCTTATTAGGGAGACAGTTGTTGGTGGTAGTGGAGGGGCCCAGATATAGGTGGAGGATGGTGAGGGTTAAAGGGGAGGTGCTCTGAGTGCTGGGTGACTGAGGGGCACTGTGAGAATTTAGAGAAAAGAGAAAGCAACTTATTGGGGAGACAGGAAGAGAGAGGGAAAAGAAAAATAAATGAACAGAAAACTACTGTATTTAGCCCAGCAAAGGTAAAGCAGGGCTTCTTCAACCTGCATTAATCCACCATGAGTCCCAGAATGGAGCATATAAAATGGATTGATATCTTATGCTGGCCAAACAAGAAGAATGTTGACTTTTAATGGGGATCCTACAACCTTAAAACTGGTCTATAAAGTGCAGCATTTAACACACCAGAGAAAAAAAGGCATGAATAAAGTATGTTTCTCAGGAAAAGTAATTTTGCGTGAGACAAAACACTCTGAACTAGTCCTCATTTGTGTATCACTGTCGACATCTAGTGGCCATACTGCTACATTTCAAAGGAAGGCAAGCAGTGTCATGAATGAATGGACAGTGAAGGCATCAGTACATTTTGAGAAGTGTGACGATGAATTACACATCCAGATAACAGCTGTTTGTGTAACCGAGCGTCGCTTTTAAAATATAAAAGTTTGACCCATAAAAAGTAAAGAAAAAAGTCTAACCACAGCCTGAAATACATTTTATTTGCGTCAGGATTTAGGGAAATTCGTAATGAACCTGTAATGTGACCTATTCGTGCGCATATAGAATGATATCACAGGCTACTGACACAGTTGAGCTGAATTAGACATTTTTTATATTGGACTTTGTTAGTTTACAGTCTTAAGTTTTCCTTAAAAAAAGAGGCGGTAGAGGCAGAGACAGAGAAAGAACCGAGGGAGGATGTGTTTTTAATGCAAAACTGGTGCCAAAGCAGGCCAAGAGGATCCTAATTAAACTGACTGACTCAAAAAAGCCATATGATAAACGTGGCATTTGCGTTGTAGTAATATATAAAATAAATAACTATAATCTAAGCATGTGAAGTTGACATGTTCTATAGAACACCTTGTTAGAGAACTGTTCGCTGCCGGGTGTTGTAGTCAAGGGCGCATTTAACCGAGAAATTGCTAACGTCGCCAAATACCGCTTTTTCGGATTTCACAAAGAGCACTTGAAGGCAATTTAAACCAACGACGTTCTTTTGTGCAGCGCATGCGCAGTGAGCTAAAGAGGAAGCAGTGCAGACGAGTTTGGCGGATTATGTGGACATATCAGTGAGCGAAAGCAGCTGCTTTCCAATAATTTATCTGGGCTTTATGTCCGAGTGGAAAGAAAGGTTTGTTTAAAATGGACGGCTGACAGTTGAAAGTAAATTCAATGTAATTCAACGTATGTGTAACTGTATGTACTAACAACTGAGCGACAATGATGTCAGAATGCGAGCCGACAGAGACAGAGACCGGCGAGCCCTTACTGGACACCGGAGCAACAGCGGTGCCTGCTGAGGAGTGTAACTTTCACTCTTCAGACCCTTCAGACCCTCCAGCGGTATTATTTGACAGGAACAGGTTAGGTTTGGGGCTTGCGGGGAACCCTGGAGTCGCCGTCCGTATTTCGGACTCTTGTGAGAGCGTCTTAACCGAGCTGGAGACGGACGGCTCCGGCGAAGAGGCGCTGTTGTTGCCGTGCTTAGCAGGAAGCTCGTCGTCTCCGCGGGGCGTACGAGAGAAGCGGAGCAGGCGGAACAGACACAGCTCGTCGTCGGATAAAGACACCTTGGCCTCCCCAGGTAACTGTTTGGGATCAGTGCTTGTGAGATCTGATTAAAGTAAGTACTGCTGGATAAACGCCAGCTAGGGCTGCTAGTGGGGGTACGTCCAGAGGAACATGTGTCTGGTTTTTTTGACGCATATGTTTGAGTGAGATATTACAGAGGCTGATAACTGGGTTAGGTGAAGTGCATAGATAATAGTGAATGCAACGTGGGAAAAAAAACATTCTTACGTTATGCAAGCCCTTTGAGGAGTGTTAACCAGTTCAGTGTGGCTCACCTCTGGGAGAGGCCCATGGGACTTATGTGGGGAACCAACATTGATAGGACAGAAACTAATAAGTTGTTGCCTCAGCACAGTGGAAGAGTACACCTGGTCTCTAAGCAACTCTGTGAATGTTATGCAAACTATCCACACAATCCTGCTCTACGGAAAGCATTCAGCTTGTGTTTGCATGTAGATGGAGCCTGCACCCTGCCTGTGTACCCTCTGTGTGTTTTTCCAGTCAGATGATGTAATAGCTGCATGTTATCGTCCATGTGGATGATATGAGCTGGCTCTTTCACCTGGTGACAGCCACGAGTACAGTTAATAGTCGTAAGTATAGTTGTAAAATGCCCTCACTTATCGGGCAGCCTTGAATCCCACGCTACTAAATGTGTGTTTTGTTGTAGTGTTTTTAATTCTCCTCTGTTAATGCCAGTGCAGATTAAGCAGGTTTTTAGGTTTCCACGCAGATGTCCTCCCAGGTAAAGACTCAAAAAGGAGGCTAACAGACTCTATTTTTTTGTCCATTTATGTTTGGTTGCTTATCCGTTGTCAGTCTTACACATTTTCAGCACTAGATTTGGGTTATAAAAAGTAAAAAAAAAAAAGATGGTAATGGGAAAACAAAGAAAAGGTGATCTAGTCGCCATGGAAGCGGCACATATTCTGACTTGACTGCTAATTGGATTTAACACCTCTCCCCCTCATACCGCCCACCTTTTTTCTCCCTTGCAACATAGTTTTGGAGCATTTGTTTCCTCCTTCACTTCTGTTGGTCTGTCTCTCTGCTGAGATGTTCTATCAGGGCCAGAAATCTAGGCCGCAGGTAGACACGCTGAGCCTGAAATCGCAGGCGTTAGTGTCCCATTTCTGTCGGCCTTTTAGTATAATAGTGTTCAGGTCTAGAGTTACAACACAGTTTTTGGTCAGTGCATTACGAATTAGGAGCTACACGCATTCCAGAGAGCTGTGGTGCTGTATCGCTCTGTGTGATATAAAATGTCACCACAATCTCCATGGCGAATTCTGACAGTTACATTCTTCCACGCTTATCACACTCAACATGACCCCAGACCATGTGAGTCCTTTCAGCTAAAACTGTCCATTGTCCACGAGTACCGTTACTAGTGTGCAGCAAACAATGGGATTTATCTTATTTAAAGTTATGCAAAAAACATTTAATCTTCCTACATTTGCATACATTGAAATATTTAATCATGTAACTGTCTAAGCATAGGCAGATATTGTCAATGTGTATTAAGTAGAGCAAGCAAGGTTGCAAGGACTCAACTATAAAGTTGTGTATGAAGTTCAGTGTCCCCACACATCGTAGCAGTAACCCTTATTCAGAGTGCAGTGTTGCGACATCTGACACACTGTGCGCTGCAGGTCAGCAGGTCTCTCAGAGGGAGCTGCACTCGGCTGTGAAGGAGCTCTGGTGAGCCCATTAACTGACCAAGGACTGCGAGAGACCGACATTAAATATGCATAAGGCCTTTGTGCAAGCAAACACTCAGACAGACATGCAAACACTCTGTAGTCCAGTCCAGTACATGATGATGATGATGATGATGATGATGGATTTGGCAGAGAGGAAGTATCCGTGTGTGTTTACTTTCACCCCTGCTTTCTGCGGGGTGAGAATAATGGGAAGAGAGCGAGACAGAGAGACATTCCTGCCTCCTGCAGCAACACTGCACAGTGACATTATCGTAGACTTTCATCAACAGGACAATCCAACGCGAGCATACATCCTTCATCAGGCAAGACAGCTGAATAAAGCGACTGAATCTATTGTTGGAAATGAAATGATGCAGATAAAATATTGTGTCACATCTGTCTTCCACACAGATACATTGTGTTGTAAATCAGAGGCATGCAGCGGGACTTTATCACCATCTATGTTTAGCGCCGTGTTGACAGCATATTATTCCCACATAAAAGTCAAGATTAAGCAGTTTTTACATTGTTTTGTTTTGTTTGTTTATTTTTGCAGGGACAGCTCACAATTAAGAGTGATTGCACCAGAGTCAGCTAACAGCTCATTTGCATCTGTTGTCCCAATCAGCTGGTCTGTAGACCACCAAAAAGATCATTTCCACTCGTATAAACTGTGACTGTGTGTTTGTTTGACAGAAAATGGTTCATCAGGACGGCTTTCACTGTAGGATGATCTGACCTGTTAGAGTTAAAATATCTGGTGATTTCGGCCCCCTTTTTAAGGTTTGATTTTAATAATTTCACATATAAACAAGGCCTACCCAGTGCCGAATGAAGCACAAAACTCAAGCACAAGCTAGCCTTGGTAGGCCCTAGCTCGATTTTGTGGTGCACCTCAGGCACAGACCTTGAAAACATAAAAAATGCAGTAGTATGTGGCTTTTAGAGAGAGATGTTGGTGATTACATTGAGGTCGGTGGTTTTCAGGTGGATGGAAATGAACTATACATGAAGGCACTAATCATCCAACATGGGAACAGAAACAGTGTGGGTGGAAGTCATTCAGAGGCCCCTGCTCAGTAAAAGGCTCCAACTGACTCCAAACAGACTATGATAGGACATTTTAACATATTTGATGAGGTCTAGGTGGGGCACAGGGCTAGTAAAACCCTGACATGTATCTACTTTTAAATAACCCTGGTCCCTGTTGTAATTTTAGCACATCTCCATCCTTCCATTCTCTACATCCTCATTTTTAATTAGCTTCTCTCAGCCCTCCTTCAAGTGAATTAGCCTCAAAGCCATCTTTGTTTCTCCTTATCTCTCTGTGACAAATGGCATGTTAACTGTCCTCCCGTCCCTTTGTCCACCCCCACCCCTTCCTCCCCGCCTCCATGTGTCTGTCCCTTCATCCCCCCCCCACATCCCACTGTGACTTTAGTGTGACTGATACAGAGCATATGGAGTGGAGCCTTTCTGTCTCAGCTGACTATTCTGCCCAGTGTGAGGAGGAGAAGGCAGAACACGTTACGTCACATGATTGGGCCTTCATCAAAGAAATAATTGGCACCCCATATATCAGAGAGCAGTCACAGCCAGATCATTATATTAGTCATGCTGGGCAATAGAAATGCAACTTTTGACAAATGGCAGGGTCACTCATTTAGCTTGAAGGCAAGAAGGTTGGTTTGCATTTGGTCTGTTTGTTCTCTCTCTGTGCCTGCAATCAACTTGCATGTCCAAAGACAAGGTTTGGTGAAATATTGATTCTAAAAGGTGTGAATGTGTGTGTGTGATAGACTAGCCACCATCCAGGTTGTACCCCACCTCTCACCCAGTGGGTGCTGACAACGTTTCCAGCCTCGCATGACCCTGAGCAGGATAAGCGCTTTAGAGAATGGGTGGATGGCTCCAGTTGGCTCTCACATACAAACTGTGTGCATAATATGACACAGTAAAATGGGTTATTAGAGGAGAAACGCTAGATGGAAAAGACTGACCTTTAGATAGGTGCACAAGCATAGATATATACATCATGTGGATAAGAATTATCTGTTAATATTGTACACACATAAAAAATGGTCAGATGGTTTATGTAGTTTTTGTATTTTTGTTTTGGGGATTTTTTTTAAAATCTGTATTCACATTTCAAATATTTTTTTTTGTCTTTTACTTTTAACTTTAATATTGTATTTTGGAAGTGGTATGATGATGCTGTATCATTGTTCTGTTATATTTTACCTCATCACAGTCTGGTTGCCCACGGTGTAAATGTTATGAATGAATATTAATCCGATCTGTTTTTTGTCCTAGGTACCAACAGTGGGGACTTTAACCATTTCCCTGACGATCCCGAGTTTGCAGATATTATCCAAAGGGCGGAACAAGCTATCGAGAATGGCGTCTTTCCAGAGAGGATTTCCCAGGGTTCCAGTGGGAGCTACTTTGTCAAAGACCCAAAAGGGGTGAGACAGCTTTATTTATTATTTTTTTTATTTGACATTTTAAGATTTATTCACTTTCCCCATTTAGATTTATCCAACTTTTTTTGAAATCCTGGCTTTATAATCCGGGCCTTAATGTAAGCTCCCTGGTTCTTCATGGCTCTCGAGCAGCTGAAAGGAGTGAACAGGAGGCGAGGAGTTGGGAAGTGAACAGGAGGAGGAATCAGTGGAGGCTGGCCGAATAATGCAGCCAGGGATGCTCACATCGATAACAGATAGCCAGCATGCATGATTAGCATCACATTAACAAGTTAGATGTACGCTCCAAGGAAAGGATATTGATCCCTAACTTGTTAGCAGCATCTCTGTCACTTTACATTTGTTGCTTATAATTTTACATGTCTTGCCTGTGGTTCTTTAATCTGGTTCTTTTTTAAAGGTCCTAAAAAAATAAAAATGTATTGTTATACCCCTGTGTGTGCTGCATTTTCCCATTGTACGAATGCATTTAGATATAACACTGTTTATCATTCTCTTTTTCTACAGAAAATCATTGGTGTTTTCAAACCAAAGTCAGAGGAACCTTATGGTCATCTGAACCCCAAATGGACCAAATATTTTCACAAGGTACACTGTCACATGTTTTATGTGTGTGTAAACCATCTGAAGGAGTATAGGCAGGCGTGTCACAAAAAGCAGCTTTCTCAATGTTTCCTGGTTGTTCTTTGTCTCTTTCGCTTTCATTAGCTGTGCTGTCCGTGTTGTTTCGGTCGAGGCTGCTTGTTGCCTAACCAGGGTTACCTCTCAGAGGCTGCTGCCTCACTGGTTGATACCAAGCTGGGCCTGGGAGTGGTGCCGAGAACAAAGGTGGGGGCTCTGCACGGTATTACATTTGACAGGTTTTTGCAACATGCCATCACTGTCTAACTGAAATCCAACTAAAAATGTATTATCAGGTGGTGTATCTGGCTAGTGATACGTTCCATTACAGCGCCATCGACAGAGCCAAATCCAGGGGGAAAAAGTATGCCTTAGAGAAAGTCCCCAAGGTGGGACGACGCTTCCACAGAGTGGGCCTGCCACCCAAGGTAACAGAGCGGCAACCCGTCACAGTCCAATGTCACCAACTTTCAGCTGTTTTGTATGAGCAGTCAGTGAGACGCATCAGCTGGAAACTCTTCTCTTGTTCCTGTGTGGTATATCCCTGCACACATTGAAACTAATGGTGTAACTAGAACAAATACTAATATATACTACTAGTAATAGTAGCATCTTTTTGTTTTTTTAACATATTTAAACAATTTCTTTGTTTAGTTTTTAATTTCACATACACATGGTCTGATGTCTCATCATTATGTAATAAATGAGCTGTTGTCTCATTGAGTGCAGGGCTCAGAATAGCTGCTGTTCCAACCCTGGCAAAGGACAGTAAAAGGAATAATGCCACGCTGTCTGTCTTTGTGTTCCTTGAAATGACAGGTTTATTCAAAGAAATAGGTCAGAGGAAGAATAAATGTCATCTCTGCTTTAAATTTTTCAGGGTATTCTTATCTCCTTTTATAGTGTACTATACTCCCATCCAGTGCCAGTTATAGCATTTAATAAAAGCATGTACAGCAACGTCTGAGGCAGCCTTCTTTATGATGTATAGTGCTGTAGATGCTGTGAAAAGTTGGCTGAAAAAATTTGTTCAGGAAGTAGTATGAGGAAGTTGGCCTTATCAGTCAACTGTCTGTCATGCACTGCTGATATTTCAGCCTGTTGACATCACAATGTTACGTTACATCATTGCGCCAGACCACATCATTACCATATAATCAAACTGCCTACTATTTTCAGAACATTGAAGAACAAGATGATTTTTTTCCTATGTATCTGTGAAGTGTTCCATGGTGCTGTGTCTGTTTCCAGGTGGGCTCATTTCAGCTGTTTGTGGAGGGGTACCGTGAAGCAGACTACTGGCTGCGGCGCTTCGAGGCAGAACCTCTACCCGAGAACATCAGGAAGCAGCTGCAGTCACAGTTTGAGCGGCTTGTAGTGTTGGACTATGTTATTAGGAACACAGGTGAGGGTGTGTCTGTGTTGACATTTTAAAAATTTTTGGTATGAGTTTACTTTTGCCCTTCATAGCTGCTTGCAGACACTGTCAGCATATCTGCAAGTTAATTAGTGTGCTGTGTATCATAGCCAGTAGTTTTTGTAACCGTTATTGTGCTCTCTGTCCCCACCTACGTTTCTTCAAATGGAAACTTCATATTAGTCTACACCCCTATAGTTCTATTTTCTCTTTGTCTTTCTCCTCAGATCGGGGGAACGATAACTGGTTGATCAAGTATGAGAAGCCAGGAGAAGGAGAGGGACAAAAGGTGAGGTTAAATCAACGTGTACTTAAGGTGTGTCCAGACTGATCACAGAGCAGATTCTGGTTCAAGCAAAAGAACTGCTGATATGTTGATACATTCTCATCATAGGAAACATACAGAAAAGCTTAAACACTTACACACTTGTGTACTTCATGCTCTGTCACTAATTGACAGACAGGACACACAGGGGCCCACACAGACAAACAATAGATATTGCAGGTCTGGAACAAACCAGCGCTCCAGGGAGTTTACTGGTTATAGCAACCAGAACACTATCTGACTCCCCATCATCAATCATTATTTGCAGTGTATTGATAAATGAGCAAAGCTTGTCATCTGTCTGTCCAATTAATCAGGCCTTTGGACAGTGATCAATAACTGGCTATCAGTCATTAATCATTCACTCAGTCAGGTGACGTCTCTGATCCTCTCTCCCCTTGCTGCAGGATGCAGAGTGGTCAGAGAGCAGTTCAGACTCCTGCATCAAAATCGCAGCCATCGACAACGGCCTGGCCTTCCCCTTTAAACACCCGGACGAATGGAGAGCCTGTATGTTGGTCTCTTTCCTCCTTCACCTCTCTTCATTCATGTTCTGTCTTTGCTACTCGCCGTCTCTGTCAACACCACATCCTTACTAGTAACATAACAGTTATTGACTTTCATCCAGGATTCATTACTGTCGTTTAGTCTATAACATGGCAAGTTACCAGAGCACAACTTAATGAAAGTATTTCAATGACAAATAGCATTAAGATTTATCATTTTAAAGAAAAGATGTTTTATTTATTTGTTTTAATTTATTTTAAAGCTGCTCTCAATCAGGTCTATGAAAATTAGTTAAAGGAATAGTTAGAACTGTGCTTATTTGTTTTCTTCTTGCTGAGATTTAGACGAGCAGATCAATCCACAAAAAACACATTTTGTTTTTTGTTTGTACGGATTAAACAAACAAGATATAACATTCTGGCGGGTGGATCTTGTTTCCTTTGGACAGAGTCAGGCTAGTGGTTATGCTAAGCTAACCAGCCGCTGGCTGTACTTTCATGTCGACCCTACAGACATGAGGGTGGTATTGATCTTCTCGTCTGAGCTCTCAACAAGAAAGTGAGTAAACACCTTTGTGTTTTGGCAACATATGAAGGAGTGTTAGTAAAGAATACAGTATGAAACGGTGTGGACAGCTGTGAGTGTAGTGGCAGGTAAAGGTTGTTGAAGGTCACTCAGCGTGTTGTGAGAGCTTTTGATCAGCTGTACTGTTGTGTTCCATCAGACCCGTTCCACTGGGCATGGCTCCCCCAGGCTAAGGTGGCCTTCTCCCAGGAGACCAGAGACCTGGTGCTGTCCCGCCTCTCTGACATGAACTTTGTCCAGGACCTCTGTGAAGACCTCTATGAGATGTTCAAGGTACAGGACACCTCATGACTCGGCTCTTCAATGGGCATGTAAACAAACAGCTGTCTGGTAGCAAAGTAACATGGAGTCTGAATGTAATGAGCCAGGACACCTGCTAATGGGAGGTATTCTTTTTCTCTTCAGGCGGATAAAGGCTTTGACAAAACCATGTTTGAGAGACAGATGTCTGTCATGAGGGGTCAGGTGAGTTTTTTTCTGACTGTTTTTCCCATCAGTTATTGTGCACTTTCTCTTTCTCCATTGTGTCCTCTATTTTGTTCTTTCCTTTTATATCCTACCTCGCTCTCCTTTCTCTCCCGTGCCCTACTTTCAGTCGCTTCCATTGTTTGCTCTCCTTATCACCACCCATCTTAACCTAATTTCTCACCCTCTGCCCCTGTCTACTGGCCTGCTCCTCTTGTCTTTCTGTTCTGCTCCTCAGCTGTTCTTTTACCTCTTTGGATTAATGACCACTGAGTGTGTTATAGCAGGATCATCACAGTGGACAACAGCAGACAGACTATTTTTTACTATTTAGGCACCATGATGCCGTCTTCCATTGCTTTTAGAGCTAAAATGATAAATTGATTAGACAAAGAATCATTACCATTTTGATTAATTGTTGAAGTCATTTTTCAACAGAGTCGATTATACTTTCATTATCCACGTTGCTTCAGGTTTCATAGGTCGATCTCACACACACTCAAATACAACCAATGCCCCAGTAGTCAGACTGAAAACTGACCCACGCTTTATCTCACATCTCTTTTACAATGTGTGATTTCTAAATGTTTCTATATTTCATACATCATGAACCCTGTTTGTCCCCAGGTGCTGAACCTGACCCAAGCTCTGAAGGACGGGAAGAGCCCCATCCAGCTTGTGCAGATGCCTCGGGTGGTAGTAGAGCGCAGCCGCTCAGGCCAGGGACGTGTGGTCACACTTGGCAACGCCTTCACACAAACTTTCCACTGCAAGCGCCCCTTTTTCTCCTCCTGGTAGAGGGCTGAAGAAGAGGAGCTGAGGAGAGATGTCTGCAACAGCTCTTTTTTTTTTTTTTCGGTCCTGAAGTCAGGAAGCGAGGGAGAAGATGTGAATATTGCGCTGGAGACTGCTCATATTTCTTTGGCGAGAAGAGAAATGAAAAAGAGGACATGGATGATGAAGTAAGAAAGGCAAAATTGGGTTCAGGCCCATTCCTCATTTTGTGAAGAGAGTGCAGAGAATCATGGGAGGTGAAGAGATTGGCATACCAGTGTCTCTCAGAGACCTTGGGGCTGTTTGTGGTTACCATGGTGACTTGATTGGATAATCGGCTTTTTCACAGAGGTGGGCTTTGTTTATTGTTAGGAGGCAGAAAGGTTTTTTTTTACCCACCGAGTACCTACTGAAGTCTCTCACAAGGTTTCTTAGTGGGGCTAATGGCCAAAGAACAAGCACTTACCAACCACTAACTAACAGATCTGTGGTCCAGTAGTGTTTGGGAATCTGAAGGATTGGTTTTACAAATCTCTCCAGAAAGTGATGTTTTATAAATCTGGGACAGCGTTCCTGGTCTGGGATAAAGTCTAAAAATATTTGCTTTGCCTTGTAGGATTACTTATTAAAATATAGATGTGCATTTGCACTGCTGGAAGTGTTTGACTAGTGCTACACAACTGGGTCAAACCACTCTTTACCCAGTGCTAGTGTTCAAAACCACATCTGTTGAACAAACACAAACCCAGTGTCTTCAACTCTCACCACTGCCAAAATCTGTTTGTGGAAGGAATATTTAAAAGCCTCAAGAAAAGACTATTGTTGAAACTTGAATATGAAATCCGGAGGAAGAGGAATAGAAATAAACGCATTGCTTGAATGTAATCTGTTTACGGTTTCTATACAGATTCTTGCTCCTAAACATTTCAATACGAGTGAATGCTGTCAAAAATCGACCTTTCTCGTAACAATGAATGTATTTGTTGTTTGACATGTATTTAATTGCTGGCAAGCAGCTTTCTCTCGAGCCTCGTGGCATGGGTGGGGGTGGCACCTCATCCCTCCCCTTTACAACACGTTATATGAGGAGGAAAAACAGAACAGAGGACAATATTTCACACTTGCTCGATGCTGTTGTGTTTTCTTATGTATGCATCTTGAAATTTTTATTCCAACTCAATGATTGTATGAGAAACATTGTATATTTAACAGATGAAAAATAAAATTTGGGAAATTTGTTTTGTTCAGTTGTATGTGTTACAGTTTCACAGAAAAGGCACCAGTGATGACTCAAACCAAAGGTGTGTTCAGCAGAGCTCACATAACTTGGGTGTCACAGATCCATACACCTGTGACCAGGCCATCAAACTAGCAGAGGGCTAGTTGATGATTGAAGACAGGAACAGTAATGCCTGAAGTAACAGTCATCTATTAATAACAATGTTCAATCTGTCTGAGTTCTGACTGATATGATAAGCTAATATGGGGGTGTATGACATTTAAAGTTAATGTGTACACATGTAAAACAATACACATTTGAGTGGAGCAGCAAATCCTTACATTTGAGACACTTGAATTAAAATGTTTGGCAGGTTTTCTTTATAATTGACTTAAACAAGATTATCAAAAGTGTAATCATTGATTTATTGTGTAATTCTTTCACCACTTGCATCCTACAGGAACAAACGTGGGGATTTGGGGGACAATGCCTGCACCATTTAGCATGGTTCATCACCAAGTTTCTGGAAACCGCCTGAAGAAAGTAGTGATACCAAAACCTTAAACCGACAACATCTCTGCATAGCCGTGACTTACTTACAGTGGAACAATCCACCATCTCATCCTTGATGAGCAGATGTTGTCATGTGGACACAAACACGTGCATTATTTACCTGCCCTCATTAAATCATCTCTACATACATGTGCCAATGAAACACGTGCACCACCACACCACCACACACCCACTAACCCTCACTTACCACAATATGCTCCCCCCCCCCAGCCATCACACTGGCAAAAGTGAAGTATTTGTTAAGTGTCGCTACACACACACACACACACTCATACGTTTAGACAAAGGCAGCACCCACACAAACTCACTGAGGTGCAACACACATCTGGAGAGCAGTGTCAGCAGTAGGAGGAAGGGGATACGCAGCTTAACACTGCCACCATGTGTAACATATTCCCCATACTCAATTTAAAGGCACAATTTGTGATCTCTTAAAATTGTAAATGCAGTATTTGGAGACTGCCATCACTCTCAGATTGACTGACAGCTCTTCTAAAGCAGTGACTAACACTACACAACAGCCTAACAGAGGTCACTTTTTCTGATTCTGTACACTGCTCATTTACATCAGTAGTACTTTAAGTAAAGCCAGCCTTTACCTTTAGACCTGGTTGGTTTAAGAACACACAAAATGATGATTTTTAATCTATAATTGAAACCCTTCAATTATGTATATGAATATAGAAATAAATAGCTATATATTAACAGGTGTGGGGTGAAGAAAATGCCCATTTGTTTGCATATATTTTTTCTTCTTGAAAATAGATAGATTTCTATTGCTATATAGGAAGTTGTAGATTTTACTTTTTAAACCAAAGAGTAAGAATTACTTGTAATTCAGCTAAAATGTGGTGCTTTGCAGCCACAAGCAGGAGGTTAAGTGTCATTTTATAGGACATAAGACATTTTGTGTGTGTTTCAAGACCTTGAACGTGAAGCATTCATGAGTTCTATTTTTTACAGCTGTGTCCTACTTTATACTGTAACACAAAAAAACTTTTTGCCTGCAGGGGTTGGGTGTTGGGGGGGTGGCATACTGACACTGTTACACTGGAGCAACTGCTTCTTATTTCGCCTGTAGGTGGCGGCATCAGCACGTTTACAAGGGCAGGTCTAAATAACTGCTGCTTTCTTTCCAGGTGGTGCATCTGATAATGACCCAGATCCCCCTTTGTGGAATGAGTGAGTTTATGAGTCCATGGACGGGCTAATGGATCACCTCAAAGAACCCCCCTCCCTACACACACACACACACACACACACATTCTGACTTTAGTGGGTCACAAAGGCTGCTTTTAGGTTCTGTTGTGGTGTATTTTTGTCCCCACTAGATGGTGCACATTATCAGTGTCATCTCCTGAGCGGCTCCACGGCTCTAGTGCGCCTCAGGGTCTGGAATCCGTCTTTCACAGATTGAATGTAGACTTCAGTCACAAGGCTGTCCAAATGTGCAGGCCCTGACGACTCGGCGGCAATGTCCGGAGCTCAATCTACAGAGAGCTTAGAGCACAAGCTTCATAGGCCCAAACATCTTTCCCAACAGCGCCACAGAAGATCACGAGTGACCAGTGGAGAGTGTAAACTTTAATTTATTTAGAGTCTGAACACAGAGTAACTGACTGACTGCTGGATGTTTGGAGAGAATCATTTAATATGATGCAATAAGGATTAAATCCAACCAATCCGAGCTTCCTGGCGCTGTCAAGATCACAATGCAGTTACTTTTACTCGCAGCGGCGTTTCTCTTTACGCACGACCTCACCGGAGCTGTGCGCTCTGATAAGTGCGCCTCCTGGTGCGACGTCAGCTCGTGTCCGAGCCCCAGCTGTCCTGGCGGGTACGTCCCGGACAGATGTAACTGCTGCCTGGTGTGTTCCCCGCGGGAGGGAGACCCATGCGGCCGCAAGAACGACCTGCCTTGCGGGGATGGCCTGGAGTGCAAGCTGCTCGCCGCGGGGAGGCGGCGAGGCTCCAAAGGGGTCTGCCGGTGTAAGATGGAGCATGAAGTGTGTGGAAGCGACGGGAAAACGTACGGTAATGTGTGTAAGATGAGAGCAGCCAGCCGTAAAGCTCAGCAGAAGGGGAGACCAGCAGTAAGCCAAGCGCACAAAGGACCCTGTCCACCTTCAGGCGCAGGTAGGACTGCTTTGAGTGGTCAGAGAGGGCTGCAGCCTCCAGGGGTGTACTTTAGACATAAAACAGCTTTAGTAGTTTACAAATCTGCCATCTCATGAAATCACTGCACAGCAAAAGTAATGATAGGAATCGCTTTGTCTTGACTTGTACAATATTTACTTTTATTATTATACAATAGAGTGGGTACTCAATACAATATCTGGAGTAGACAGAAACTTATTGTTTATCAATTAATAGTGTTCGTCATTTTTCAAGCTGATTTCAGCTTCTTCATTATCAGGATTTGTTGGTTTTCTCAGTTCTATATTATTGTGAACAAACAAATTTTTCATTCTTTTCTGGTATTTAATTGATTATTTAAAAATATATATCTTAATAGATTAATTGAAAATGAAAATGACCCTTTGTTGCAACTTGTTCAAAAATATATATTTTAAAGGAGTAGTGATTGTATGTGTATGAATCTTTAATAGTGTGTGTGTGTGTTTATGTTAATGCAGTGTGTTCTTCATGTCAGTACAGGCCCTTCCCTGGTCCATCCCGGCAGCCCTCGCTACAAGTTCAACTTCATCGCTGACGTGGTGGAGAAAATAGCACCTGCTGTTGTCCACATTGAGCTATTAGTAAGGTGTGGCGTGTGTTTGTGTGTGTGTGTGTTTCTGTAGAGAGGTGCTGTGTAAAAGACCACCAGTCACCAGTCAAACTGTGGCATATAACAAACAGTTTGTCCCTTTTCCCTTTAAAATTTTAATTCACTGTATATTTAAATTATTCTCATGCCATTTTTTGGGAACATTCATGTGTTTGAGTTTTGAGTTTTGAGTTTTAAGAATTTACAAGCTGTGGTGTTCTCTTTCATGCCTTCTGGGTATAGAAGTCCAACCTCTTGCTGCCAGAATGCACTAAACTGCCTTTTAAAAAAAATCTTTGTTCTATCTTTGGGCTCTTTCTCATTCTACCACTCCTCTCTGTCTCCAGGCATCCTCTGTTTGGTCGCCACATGCGTCTCTCCAGCGGCTCTGGTTTTATTGTGACCCACTCAGGTGTGATTGTGACCAACGCTCACGTGGTGACCACAGCTGCCACGGCGGCAGGAAGGCCCCAGCTGCGCGTGCAGCTCCACGACGGCGATGCGTACGAGGCCACAGTCAGAGATGTAGACAGGAAGGCAGACATCGCCACAATCAAGGTCAATCCTCAGGTGAGGGCATCCACACAGAACACAGGTTCATGTACATCCAGATCATAATAACTGTAATCACCATCTTCTCTCTGGCCAAAATGATTTAAAAAGGTTTATTTTCCAGAAATATCCTTCTCCCTTGACCCTGATATATAAACATTCTGCACTATTGCACAAGAACCCACATCCTGACACTTCTATGTGCCAAGTTCTGACAGTTTCCTGCTAGACATTCATGAGGCTAGCAGGAATACTGTCATAAACAGCAGCTCTGTGACTCAGAGACACAGCGTAGCAGTGTGTATTCTCACACCCATATCTCAAATAGTTGGACAGTTTTGTAAGCATCAAACTTCTTCCTTTATCTCTCTCTGTCTCTTTTCCATGTCTTCTACCCTTCATCCTTTGTGTTTTTCCCTCTGTCCAACCAGTATGTCTCTCTCTCTGACATGTCTGTCTGTTTGCATGTGTGTGTCCATGTGGGAGCAGAAGAAGCTTCCTGTGCTGTCTCTGGGCCGTTCAGCTGACCTGAGACCAGGGGAGTTTGTGGTCGCCATTGGCAGCCCTTTCGCCCTGCAGAACACCGTCACCACTGGCATCGTCAGCACCGCTCAGAGGGACGGCAAAGAGCTGGGCATCAAAGACTCAGACATTGACTACATCCAGACCGACGCTATTATTAATGTGAGCTTAGACACACACACACAC